GAAGTTTTGTGGACCCGATATATATTTAGCTTGTCATCCCCTTAACAGATTCAAGTCTATTTTAAGTGCCAATAATTTAGTGCAATCTTTCATTAAATTCATTTATGAAAGCATTTGTTTTAATAAAAAAAACATGTGATTTCCACTCACAGCTACCACCACCGTAGCTATTTGCATTCTCATAAATAATCAGCAGGTCTCTCTCGTATGCTTTTTTATAATCTATTAACCAACAAACCGTCTCATCACTGATAGAGGCAGGACCTTGCAAAATCACTCAGCTGATGTACACGTGATTTGAAAAGTGCACACATTAAAGGTCAAGTTCAAGTTCAAGAATTATCGAAGCAGGGCGGAATAAATAGGCAACAAGAATTAGGATGCTTACACGAATAAACAAAAATACTATTTTAAATAAAAATAATATTTTCAAAATCAAATATAAAACTGGAAGTAAAATTTCAGGCGTTGACGTGTTTCTTTTTTTTAATGCAGTTGGCTCATAAGATATGAACACTTTGGAAATCATTTTTAAATGCCTTGAAAACTGTAATGCCGACATTACGATAACATTATTTTGCGAAAAAACAATTTACAGTAGTAATATAGAATTTTAGCGGTATATTGAAGACCATAAAGAGGCAGATGATGCTGGATGCCTGATTCATCATTTTTATTTAGATATAACTTATTCGCATAATGAACACAACATAGCGATGTAAGCAACAGTTCGATATTCAGTAATTTCACGTGCAGATTTCACATAGGCAGCATTAACACTGGAGACAAAAAGGCAACAGCTTACACCATACTTTTGAAAAAAAAAAGTTAACTCTAAAAATGCTGAATTTTGGGGCTTTCCGTTTTGTTCTTATTGTTTAATTAAGGCTATAATTTGTTTAATATTATAATTTCCTGAAAGATTGTTTGCATTATGTCAATTAAATGCGTTACAGATATTATAAAAGAATCGTATGACAAAAGTTAAATTTGAAATGACGCAGGTAATATTTCGAGAATAGAATGGAGAAACAAAGAAATTAATAAACAGGTAACTTGAGGGTCTATTACAAATTAAAGTTTGGATTTTATATGTAAATTCCACACAGGACTTATTTTACCATCAGGTGAAGTTAAACAATTGCTTGGAGTATCAAGAAAGAGAACAACTTGTGTATAAGGGTAACAAATAGTTACATTGCTAAATCTTCTTAATTCTATTATAATTCTAGTACAATATTGCTTAATTTATATCAAATAAGTATTATTTGAATATAAATTGATTTATTTAAATAATATATATTTGAATATTAGTAGATTGTAGATAAATGCATTTATAATGGAAATTTAATTCATATAAAAACTAATCAGTAGCACTATCTTAAGTTTATTGCAGATTGATAACTTTTTTAATGCTCATGAAGGCATTATTTTTATAAATACTCACACGGGTAGATAGTATATGAGTACGCAAGAATAACAGTGATCAAAGACTATCTGTCATGGTTGACCGCCACTAAAAATGGCCAGTACTTTTGAGATTGTCAATAAACATCGGTATTAAACATCAACACGACTACGTTCGAGAAGACCAAACTCTTCGGAGAGCTTAAAAGTGCTTAGCTTGGTGGACCCTTAGAAACGGTTCCCTACATTATGTCCAAAAGGTCTTTACCCGGCTTTTATTTTCACAACCGTTGGCCGTAGACATATCCTCTAATTTCAAAAATGTTTTAAATAATCCAAGGATTCATGTTTCAGCATCTTTAAATTTAAAGAGGTCAATTTTCTAAAAATTATGAAATCTAACTTTTCATACCTTTTTCTGGACCCTATACTTATACGAGGGTTGGAACTTTAATAGTGGCAACTATTTATTTACAAGGAATACAAAAGTGATTCATGTCACCATGTTTTACAGTCCTTCAATATAGTCGCCAGCATTGTGTACAACCCGTTTCCAACGATGTGGAAGTCGCAGAATACCTGTAGCAGCGCCTGTTTTGTTGATAGTTTGAATGGACCGGTCTACTGCCGCAAGAATCTCAGGAACAGTTTGGAAGCGAGTGCCTGGAAGTGGTTAATTCATCTTAGGAATTAAGTCATAGTCGCAAGGGCTTAGATCTGGGGAGTATGGTGGATGGTAAAGCACTTTCCAGCCCCATCGCTTGAACAAATGAGTCGCAGCTTGCGCTGCATGCGGCCGAGCATTGTCATGCAAAATGAGAGGAGCGTTCTGCAGAAAGTGTCGCCGTTTTTTTCAAAGCTGGTAAGAGATTGTGCTCCAAAAATGAGCAGTAATAATGAGCCGTGACGGTCTGCTGTGAGGGAACGGTATGCGTTAGGATGACTCCATCACAGTCGTACACGAGAATCACCATAACTTTCACATTGCTGGGGTTCTGACGAAATTTCGAACGTTGTGGTGACCCGTGATGACGCCATTCATTTCATTGGCGTTTCAGTTCTGGCTGGTACGATCGGGCCCAAGTCTCATCCAGCGTAATGATACGGCGTAAAAAAGCATCTCCTCCGCGCTCTTAGCGCTCCAGGTGGGTTCGGGCAGCGTCGTATCGTAGCCATTTCTGCATTTCCGTCAATGATGTGGAACCCATCGTGAAGCAATTTTTCTCATGGACAGGCGTTCCTTCAGAATGTGCAGCACAGTCGTATGCGCTAATCCTGTTTGTCCGGCCAGCTGACGAATCTTTTGGCGGCGATCACTGTCCATTAGTACGGCAACAGCTTGCACGTCTGCATCGCTGACACTCGGACGACCTGGCCGCAGCATGTCTGCCTCGTTTTGGCGTCCTTCATTGAATGCTTTCACCCATCTTGCTACGGTTCTGTAAGGCAATGCAGATTCCCCGCAAGCCTCTTGAAGCCCTTTATGGCACTGTCGAGCTGTACGACCTCTGGCACATTCAATTTTTATCCAACATCGTTGTTCTTGTTTTGATAACATCCTGACAACACTTACATTAGACCGCGAGCTTATACAAGGATCCGTTCTTCCTGTCACTCCGCATGCGCGTGACGTAGGCAGGACGAGTCTTTTTTGCTGAGAGGTAAGATGGGTATGTAGTTTACGTGTGGTATACGCGATATTCTTTGGTTTTGTTGCGTAGCGTTTCAGCTGTGTTGCCAATATTAAAGTTCCAACCCTCGTATTTATGGAAACTTTGTATTCGATATAAAAGATAAAATTTTAAAAAATTCGGAAAGGTTTCAGATATCAACGTTTGTTAATGTTTTTTGTCTCTTCGCCAGCCTACCCTTGCTGTCACTCCAGCTAAACCATCACAATTTTTTGTTTAGCTTTGTTATTATATATTCTTTTCTTTGTAATTACGCCACAAACATTTCACAACAAAGTCAAAATATTTTTAAAGCTGCATAGCTCAATATGCTTTAGAATTCCCGATGCAGTGTTAAATTTTACACATATTATTCTATTTTTTCAATCTCATCTCGGTTCATTATACCAATATTGAATTTTCTTAATAAGAGGGCTAAAAACATTTTTGTCTTTTTGTTATCAAGTTTTTATGTATCAACCTTTAGCTATTAAATATCACATTATTGGCACTTACACCACATAAAATTCCTTAAGCAAAATACACACAGGGTGAACATCACTGACGTTATTGTTAAAGGCCGGACTCTGACCAATATAATTATAGTTCCAAACCAGACGTCTATCTCAGAGAAGGCAATAACTAGTGACAAGGAAATTCTTCAGGCAACACAGAATACAAATCGTAATTAATTTTCGCTAGCATTTCAATTTTCTTGCGCGAGCTCTAGATTTCATAACTTTCGGCTCTGAGTAAAAACATATGATGTCAAAAATAGAAAGCTAGCTGTCTTAGATGTAATTACTAATAAAAATTTAAATAACTATCACAAATATAGCACATAAAATAATATACAAGGTTTCAGATTTTAAAACTCGCGCAAAAGGTTTTGCTAAGTTTTTTTAAGTTTTTTATGTTCCCCTGAGCTGATTGTCTACTAGTTTGCTGTTGCACTAATTCTTGCTAATCTTCCCCCCCCCGTCTTTTTAGCTTTATTATTAAGCATCGTTTTCTTCACACTTACGTCACATACAGTTCAATAACAAATTTTTTAAAGTGGCCATAGTAGCATATGTTTAGAATTCCCAATGCAGTGTTAATTGTAATCATACATTTTTATATTCCCTTCAGTCTTTTCTCAGTTCATGATATCATTATTCAGTTGGCTTAGTAAGGTGGCTAACATAAACAGTTTTTGTCTTTCTATTATTACAATTTTAAGTGTTAACTGTATTTATTAAATATCCCATTCCTCGCACTTATGCGACATAAAATTCAGTTCAGTAGCAAAATCACTAAATATTTAAAAACAGCATGTGTTTAGAATTTCTGGCAGAGCTTTAGAGGTTGGCATATATATTTTTATACTTGCTATACTATTTCTTTAAAAATTAGAGGCTTACGTGGCCAGCCATCTAAAATTGTTATCATAAAAAATAAAAAGTACATAATAATTTTAATGATGATGGCTAGTAGGATTTTATAAAAGTACTGAGATTTTTAATCAGACATCTCATGATTTTAATAAATGTTTATTTAAATAGAAAAACGAAAATTCGAAATCTAAATTTTTAATTATTTATTATTTAAATAAATCGAAATTTTTAAATCGAAAATATTTAAACCGAAATCGAAAATTTAAATCGAATTAAAAAAACGAAAAACAAATTCTTAAGATTTGTCTTTATTGTTTCTAAATCGCTTCTTTTAATACTCCATAACTTCAAAATCAGATTTGAAATTATCTTAGGCTTTGCTCAATGTATAACTTGTAACTAAAAATGTGTAACTTGCAACATTATAGTTGTGAAATGCTCAAACCAATTTCCAGAAAGGTAAAATTACATATTTTCAGTCAAAACGAGGAAACTAAGAATTAGTTGTGTTTTTATTTATTTTTTAGAAGTTTTTCAATTCACTTACCCTTTTCTTCAAATTCGGAATCGGCAATTTAATTTTCAGTATCTTTAAAATTTTCAGAAAACCAGTTCCACTGCATCTGAGTTAAAAAAGTATGCCAACTGCGTCAACTTAGAAAAAATGAAATAAAAATAAGAATTGTCAAAAATAAAAACGTACCCTTGCATAATTCATCGTTCTTAAAATATGAGGTCAGTGAGATCAAATTTCGAAACACAGGGATCATTCCAATAATTAAATGACGAAAAGTGGTTGAAGCTGCTATTTCTAGCAACCCATCTGTTTTAATATTCAACTCAGATCCTGAACTTTCACATAATTAAATCCTAGACAGAAATTAAACTCTTACTACAAGTGCTCCGCAGCTGCTGTTGAATGAGGGCAAATGAGTCGGTAAAAATTCAGTCACCTCTTTTATGTTTGTTATTTTTTTTCCACGACATTAATGGCTTACTTAACAATGATGCGATTTGATCCACTCAACAGTGAATCGCAAACGTATTCCGCCATTTTACAGATCTGACTATTTCAAAGGATTTAAAATGCTAAAGGGAATAAAATTGAAAATGAAACATCTGAAATTCTTTAACATTATTGTAAAAACTAAAAATAAATTATTTCAAATTTCAAGAAAATTATAGCTGTAAGCCGAAACAAAGACTAAACTTATCACATATGTATGTGATAAGGTTTAAGCATTTCACAACTTTAATGTTGCAAGTTACATATTTTTAATTACAAGTTATACATTCAGTAAAGCCTAAGATAATTTCAAATCTGGTCTAAAGTTATGGAGTATTAAACGAAGCGATTTAGATTCGCCTTTCTGCTGCGAAAAATAAATAAATGAAACCCAAAATTTACAAAATAACGTTTTCAAAAATAACCCAAAATACGTACAGGAACAGTATTTAGAAACAGCAACCTGAATTGAAGGTACTGGAAGAGGTATTTTATGCCATTGCTCTCGAACAAAGTCGACACCACCGAGAGTTAGTGTCGACAAAGTGCAAGGAGTCTCGAGCGAAGTCGACGTTTGGAAAAGCCGCTTTAGCGCAAAAGTACAAATCAGGAGATTTAGTAGGGGTATGAGTGAAAGGTATGTCCCTATTTCTTATCCATTTTTTCCAGGAAATGAACAATATATTTTGACTTGCTGCTTGCTTTTGTCTTGATGCAGTTATACTGATTGATCACACTGTGTTCAAAGAGAAGATATCTCATTTGAAAATTGGGAATAAAATAAGTTTTTTATAATATGTAGAGTTGACCATAATACTTTTCTTCACTCTCTTTATATTTAATTTGCCGTTTTATGAAAAACCAGCAACAATCGTAAATTCCTTAGAAAAACTTTAAATTTTTTCTCCTCTTTGATGATAAAAAATGGATCTGTTTTTTTATTGCAGTCATTTAAGTACACCCAAGATTCGCCTATTGTGACAACATTTTTTCATTTTTGTCCGAATAAATATTTCTCATAAAGAATTCTGCAGCGCGTTCTACGTTCGGCGATATATCGCGAAGAAAGACGATGCGCATTATGTTTGTTCTCCTTTTAAGATTCAAATCGGCATTAATCACTTTGCTTGCAGTTGACAGAACGTTTTAATGGTTTTTCAACTGTATTTTGACTTAGCGGATTTTCTTTTAGCATTAAAGATCTTACTTTTGCAACATTCGAAACATTCCCCCCTTTTTTTTTTCTTGGATATATATTTGGAACAACTTTTCCACGTGAAGCAAAATTTTAAAGTTTTTTCTCCTTTCTTGTTGACAACATTACCCACCGTAGCTTTAGATATCGAAAAACCACTTTCACAACGCTTTTTAATAAAAACATACGAATAATCTTTTTCGGAAAGAACACAAATAGCCTTCCATCCATTTCTTCTTTAAAAACTACTTTTTGCATGAACACAGAACTGTCAATAGCAGGCAATAATTTATACTTTCAAAAATAAAGCTGCAGTTAAAAGAAATTCCAAGCAAAAGATTTTAGTACTAAGGGCTTTAGTCCAGAAGGGCTATTAATTTCGTTTTGGCATTTTGTGGCGTTTCACTTTTCAAATTGTTGCCACAAAATATTATCGACCTGTATTATATTTAAAGAAATTAAAACATGAAGAATCTGCATTAAATGTATGCGTGTTTCTCGCATTGTAATAAAACAACTGTATCTACAGCCATCCAGTTTTGAATAACGTATGTGTCCACACACCCAAATATGGGCATCTGCTGGAAGCCCGAATTTGGAAATTTGTTTTATTATCCGTTTCATATTTTGTAAAGAATTTATGAGCTTTTGATTAAGAAACTCAACGATTTCAAAGCGAGCAATGGCAACACTGTACAGGAGGGGGGGGGGGAAATAAACATTTTTATATCCAGCGCGGGAGACTGTGTAATCGGAAATTCTAAAGATATGCTCCTTTTAAAATTATTTTGCGATATTGTTATCGAATTAAATTTTATGGTTTAGATGCGAAGAACATCATATTTAATAAGTAAAGGTGACATAGAAAACGTTACCCTGCTGATACCTTTAAAACCCTGCTGATAAACACACTTTGCACTGCTGAACGTAGAATTCCCGTTCGTTACATTTTTTCATGTTGACGATGCCGCGTTTTCACCCTCTTGAGACTCAAAAGAAATACTTGTTCTGAACTAAATTTAAAATTTTTTTTTAAATAAATGATTTTTCTAGCGATTACAAAATTTGAAATTTCCTTGTTTATGATAATTAGGATTGCTAAACTGAAACAATTTGTATTTTGCAGAGTGGTCGAATACTTTTGTGTGGCTAATTTAATTAATTGTTTGTTGGTTTTATGCTTGAATTCTGGTTAATTTATTTTAATTTTTGTAGTACGTAATAATATATATAAATAAAATATCAGATAATAGTTTTATTTTATTTTGCTCACACAGCTTTTGGTGTTTAAAATCGTTTAAAGCTGCTAATCTCGTAAACTAGCCGAATATTTTTGACTCACTAGTTTGTGACTATCTATATCAAGGGTCTGGAAGCTTTTCTGTTTGAAGAACTAAGAAAAAGATTTTTCCGAAGTCAATCCTGGACAAGACCTACTTGGCAGCATTTCAAATAGTTAACCACAACATTTTATTTTAAACACTTAAAACAACAAATTTAATCCCGTCGGCCTTCCATTTTATAAACCAAAATAATCAAACACTCAAAAATCATTAAATTCTAAAGATTTTGCCTAATACGTATCCTCAAAGAGAATAATTTCCTTGCTCGGAAAAACTGCAAAATTCGGAGGAATGATTCTCAGAAAAAATCCTAAATGATGCCACGTGAACACTTGCACAGCACTTGTTTAATTAAAAAAAAATCTGATGTGTACACCACATGACTTCCTTGTACGGAATATTAAATTATACGCATTTTTTCTTGCATTTCATTTAAACTTATTGGATTGAATTAAATCTACTTCGCCGACAGGGCATAAACCACAATAGAATAAATGCATTCTTTAAAATTCACTCTAGTATTTGTTTACTATAGCGACACTCTGGCGCTAGATTCACTTCACAGTATTATATTTCGTTCACATTATAGCTCATAATGCACAAAATTTATATTATTTAAAGAATAGAATTATCTAATCGTTGCCACATGTTCTATTCAAATACTATAATAAAGCTAGAATGATTTATAAAAGAAATTAAGCAAACAAAACAAAAAAGAAACAGTTCACAGACGATTGAATATTTCTCATTCAATTAATTCAGTTCTCACTTCGCGAGAAGGCAAAAATACATAAAAACTCAAATTATCTATTTTAAAAATTACGAAGTAAATCTTAAACACTTTATTTCCTCGAAAAATTTCCAGAAAGGACTAAGCATGATTTAATTGGCAATAATAAATGAAGGCGATATCTTTGTTGTTGCGAAGCTAAGTTTCTCTAGATTGGCAACAAATCCACTAGTCTGCTGTTTGAAATGTAAACAATGAATGGCCGCCATAAAAAAAAGGCTTAGCGGCACTTAAACAACTTTAAAATTGTTGATAATTCTAAAAATATTGCATATAGATTTACTAAAGGCATAAAAACCTTAACCGGAAGATAAAAACAACATAATTCAATCATTTTTAAAGCAAAAAATGTACAATTTACAAACATATGAGAGTAAAGAAACTGAGATCACTGAACAGAGTAACAGAGTGGATATATATATAAAATATATTTATATACGTTTGGTGCGGCCGATTGCAACCAGAATACGAGGTGCACATCTACATGTTATAGCAGTCCTATATACAAAATTTCAACGTTCTGAGGCTACTCGTTTTTGAGTTATGCGAGATACGCACGTACGTACATACTCTCTGAAAAGAATTTATTTTAAAGCAGTTTGATAATTTTTTTGGAGGAAACGAGTCTTTTATTCTGTCCTTACGTACAGATATCACGCAAAAACATCGTTAAAGTGCATTCGATAGCGGTCAAAATGGATGTTTCGTTGAACATTCGTTTATGCCTGAAACTTTTCGCGATTACAATACTTCCTTTTTACTTCGTACAAGGAAGTAAAAAGAGTTATTCGTGGTATAATCTTGCATTTATTTCACTGGATCACTGTCACACGAGGCTTACTGAAAATATTTCCTCCTTCCAGTGGCAATATGTTTTAACATTGCCCTGTTCTCAGCTTTCCGGGAAACATTAACTACATATCATACTCCAAATGGAACACTCATTTTTACTGAAAAGTGTTGCTACAAGTAACAGAAATACTGTATATCTACTTCAGTATCGCAATATGTTTTATTGTGCAGGATGCAAAATCCATTCACCAATAAAGCTACTAAACCCCTCTAAAATAAAAGAAAAAAACATCAACCAGATAAGAAGCAGTAACACAAATAGCTACTATATAATAAAAATACGGATTATATTACACATATTTTTAAACTGTTATTTATAGCTTATTAAGAACAAATAGGTCCTTTTTATTTTTTTGAACGAAGTAAAGGAAGTATTGCAATCGCGAAAATTTTCGATTATTAGCTTTCAAAAGGAAATATCCATTCACGAATCTATTTTAACATTTTAACTATTTTTGCTTGAAATCTGTACACACAGGCAAAATAATGGACTCTTTATTTCAAAATGGGGTTAATCTTTGAATTATGGTAACTTGGCGATTTTTGGCGAAAATTTGGCGACCAACTCTGCTACAGCAACCTGCTAGTTTTTGTTTGGACGTCATTTTGTTTTCACGAAGTAAAGGCTTCCCCCCCCCCCACAATCTGCTAGCCGAATTACGCTCATGCTAGAACTTTTATGGAACAAAAGTG